TTCTACCTTGCTATATGACTGCAATCGGCCAGAAGGGGGAGCTAAATGGCTTGGTGGTGCTGCAGAAATAAGCTGGTGAGGCTGCACATTGCTGGGCTGGTATGCTGGCTGGGCAGAGTGGGCCATAGCTCTAGGCGAAATTTGAGGTGACAACATGTAGCCTGGGAGCAAGGGGTTACGTGAGACTGGGACTTGACAGGTGGCAAGGAACTGACTATGGTCAGAAAGATTCGTGTGCTGCCAGGGCTGAGCTAAGGGCTGAATGGCAGGGGCACGGCTTACAGGAGGTGGATAAGGAAGCTGCTGCCGAGGTGGGGAAGAAAAGGGCTTATAGTCACTTGTGGTAGCCTGGGGTGGTATTGCAGCATCCTGGGCTTGTGATGCTACCAACTGAGGGCCGAGGTTTTCAGGGGATGGTCCTGAAAGAGACCGTGGGTGGCGGCCTTCACCAAGCATACAGCGCTGGATTAGTCTACCTTGATTTCTTACTTCTTCTAGTAACTGCTGTAAGAGCTCAGTTTGAGGGTCAGGAATTGGGGCTACATGAGGGTCATGTGGGTACTCAGGGGCTAGGGCTCTCCCAGAAGAGACAGGTGAGGGAGGCTCTGTTGCTGGCTCTTCCTCTTCCTCACTGGGTAGTTGAGGTGGCTCTTCATCCTCCTCAGACTCATGCTGTGGTTGATACTGAGGTCCAACACCGAAGATGTCTGCAGAGTGAAGCGGTGGTGGCTCTGGTGCTTCAGCAGGATGCCGTGGCTGCTGACCATATTCCATGACGTAGTCATCATAGCGTACAGGACGCTGGGCTTGGCGGTGAGGACGCTGAAGTAACGAAGGCAAGGAGTGACTGGACATATCCACCGATCATCAATGGGCTCCGGCTCGAAGGACCATGAAAAGGAGGTTTGAGAGGGATGTGCAGGTAGCTGGCTTGAGACCAGTGGAGGTGTCGGTAAGAACAGTCTAGTCCAGTCACTTTAATTCCACAATGCCTTTCTTTATTAGGTATGTTTGTGTAATGTGTGTGTGTATGTGTGGTTTCTAAAAGGGAAATGATATGGAATACAATTAGCTACATAATGCCACAATACAAGGCCACAATCCATTTGAATGACAATCAAACATTTGTACATTTAAACAGACAGAAAGGAACAGTCTCATAATTCAATTAACATACAATCAAAAGAGAAACGTATGGAACTTACATAGTTCAATAACGCACACAGAGCAGGAGACAAGGCATTTCCAGAAGCAACACACAAAGAATTCCTCCATGTGGCAGGAACAAAGAGAAAGGGCTGTGCACAGGTGCTGTCTAATAAAGTCTGTGGCTGATTGGAGCTAATTAGTTGAAGGTGTGGTGAACTGCATGGGGAACTGAGTGGCAAAGAAAAAATGGGCGTGGCAACTGCAGGACAGACAGGAAACTTCCAAACAATACTAATCCAAATAAGTGACAAAATAACACAAACATTTTCCTATTTACATGTTGTGATTTGTATAGTCACAGAGTGTACAAAAAACAAAGTCACATGAGACACAGACATATTTTAAAACCCGAATAAATACTGGGTACTATATTCTCTGAAGGCGAAGCACTGCTACTTGGGCGGAGTGATAACCGCAGCACCTGAGACGCGCCGTGGTGAGGAGCAGAGAGCGCGTTTCAGGTGCTGCGGTTAAAAAGGTATGTATGGACTTATCTAACTCTGGGGGATAAGGTGAATAGGCTAAAGTCCCAAAAACTCGGAGTGTTCCTTTAAGCAGACAGTCTACTAATATACTGTTAGTTGACATGTAGTTGCAAAGTTACTTATAGTTAGTAGAATGTCTAAAGTGGACCATCGAAATAAAGTGTCAGTGCATCATCACCCCACAATTCTCATCACCGTTAAGAATCTAAATAATTGGTTTCTTATTACAATTATGTAATGTTCATTAGTGATGATAGTATTTGTTGCACGAGCTGATTAAAATAGTCTCCAGATGATTTTCAGTATTGAGAAATTTAAGAGAATCATCATGGAGCATAATGAGGTGATAATGAGATCATAATAAAAAAAGTAGTAATATATTTAGATGAGAATAAAGGTGGAGTGTACTTAACTGCCATGAAATAATGCAAAGATGTTTTGATCGTATGGCACTCAAAATAGGCTTTGTTTTCTCTCTACACTACCATTTGAAAGTTTCCCATTTAAAAGACTTTTTTGTTTGAAAGAAATTAAAACTTTTATTTGGTGTTTGATCAATTAAATACAAGGATGCATTAAACTGATCAAAAATGTTACAGAAGATTTTCTAGTTCAAATAAAAGCTGTTCTTTTGTACTTTGTATTCATCAGAAAAAATCCTGAAAAAAAAAAGGTTTCCACAAATATAAAGCATGTACGTATGTGTGTGTGTGTATGTATACACACGTTAATTAGTATGATGCCCTAATTTCGGATTAATTGTTCATTCTTGCTGATCCTGCATTATTGGAGCATTTCAGAACCACGGACAGTTCCTGCAATACTGGTCTGGTTAGAGACATTTATAGTCAGCAAATGATAAAAGAGGATTCTTGATTGATTCAGTTGCATTGTCAGAAACCACATGCATTGAGTGACAGTTACACTCCCATCTCTCTCTCTGTCTCAGCATGCAGATGTTCTCTGATGAGAGCAGATTTGTTCTTTTCCCCCATGTTCGCTACACAGCACGGCTTCGCTGTCACTGGCTGCCTCCTCTGCACTGCCTCGCTCTGATTGGCTAGCAGCAGTCTCTGAGTGCACTGAAACAGCTTTGAAAAAACATGCTTTAGCTGCATGACAGTGTACAAATGTTGATCCATCTGAACAGTCCGTTGAGGAAGAACTCCCATGACTCAGAATGAAGAAACACTTACATGTCTCCTTAAACAAAGTTTCACATTGATTCAGGATAAGGTATTATTCGGGATGCTTTGGTGTGAATCATTTTGAGGTTTTAATCTCTTGTACCTGCTATCAGAGAGCTGGTTCAGTGCAGATGTTCAACAGTAGCGTCACCAGCAACAGAAGCACAACCATCTGGCTCTGAAAAGAAAACCACCCCTGGCCCGTTTTGAGGGAAACCGAGAGCACATTTCTATTATTCATATTTGTGTTAAGGATACAATTCACTCATTGAACTAGTCTGAGAGGTTATTGCAGTTTGGTTCAACCTGTTTAAAGCAAAGTGTGTGTGAGTTATATTTCGTATATATTTCGTATATTTGAGTTATTTTTATTGTTTCCATGTTTATGTGATATTTTTGCCCTGGTTTTCATCATCACGCCACCTTAAAGACAGTATGAAATGAAAATTCACACTGTGTATTTTCTATAAGCACGTTATAGACTTTAATGTGAACAATTCATCTGTGCACGTTTCATTTTTATAATGTTCGGACCTTGTTATGTTTAATCAAAATGTCATAACTGGATCTTCCATTGAAACAACAGTCGTATGCAGGAATTCTCCATTAATTTAGTCCATTTAAAATTGTTCATCTGCCTCCACTTTTGAGTGCCACGCCCACATCTCAACATCCAATCAACAACTGATGCACAAAACCAAATCCCAGCCCTACATTGTTTTCTTTTTCAATAATCCTGTGTGTCACCGTGATTTTGCAAAGTATGACATGTTCCCGGATCATCATATTTTGTTGATCCTGGAAGAACATTCCTGTCTGAAAATGTAGTTTAATCCTATCCCTACCCCTAAACCTAACCCTAAATTACCCCTAAAATCAGAAATGATGGTGAATAACACTGATGTAGAAGCATCTAACCCTGGCTGTAACCCTAAACTTGACATAAACTGTCAAATTGTCCCTCAAATCTGATTGGTTGATTACTTAATGCCTATCACTACTTCCGTTTCATTGTGACTTTAATATTTTCCTTGCTCTTTCTCATGGCTTATGTGATTGAAGTGTGGTTGAGTCCAGAAAGTTGTGAGCTTTCTCAAAGGATAAAAGTGATGACCTCATGTCTTACTTAAGGAAAAATATAGCTACTTTATGGAACTTGTGTTTTGTGTTTTGATTAGATAATATTCTACTGTTCTAATATTCACGGAATACTTCGGGTGTCTGTGGATGAAATTTCTTTCAAAACATAAATATATTCTATCATTTTATTGCAGTTTTTTAATCAATTTTGGTAAATTTATGGTTAAAAGAAACTGATGTAGTTGCTAAAATGTAATATAGGCCTACAGTAGATTATAAGTGAAATATAGGTTGATTTATCTACTTAATTATCTACTAAAATTCAGATTATCCCCCCACATATTCATTATGTTTTATAATATTTAGAACCTTTTATTTTATGTTTTATTTTAGTATTGTTTTTTGTTTTTTAAATCTTGCAGCTACGTAGGCTATATTTAAGCAACCACAATGTAAAATAATGTGTGTGTGTGTGTGTGTGTGTGAGAGAGAGAGTGAGACCCAAACAATAACATGATTATTCCGCAGTGGTCCTGCTCAATTCACACATTAATCACAATGGAAATCCAAGAGAGAGAGAGAGAGAGAGAGAGAGAGAGAGAGGGTGGGGGTTCACTGAGGGTTTCATTTGATTCTGAGTTGGCAGTCTCGCGTTTGATGGCTCTGTTGCTCTGAACGGATGCACAATTCCCTTCACATCTCCATCGACAGCATTCCGCCGTTATAACGCCTTCATGATGTGACATATCGGGTACTTAAGTAAGACGATGGAATTTGGACGCCGCGGAGCTGTCAAACTCTCTTTTGATCGCGTTCGATGATCACCATGGCAATAATTACGCGTCAGAAAAACAGCGCGACATTCGCTGCCTTGTGTCGAGCGCGTGAGGGCGCGCTGTGTGTCAGATAGTGACCGTCACTATAGTGCGTGAAAGGGGTGTATGCGTGATTTTGTGGTCCTACGACTGTAGACGAGGAGATGGCCAGGCGCGCGTGAACACAAGCGTGCGCCTAAACGTGCGTTTCTGCATTCGCGTTCGCCCTTCGCCTAGCTGGGCTTCACTGCCATTTGGTAAAGCGGCACCGGCTGTTGCGCATCCAGTCGGTGGAAAGCCGGCGTGAATGGGTGGTTCCGCATTTTGAGGAGGTCCCCCGCCTCGCACAGAGAGACCACCCGGATTCTGCGGAGGAATGCCTCAACACGGTGAGGAGCGTCTTCAAGTCGCGTCGATCCAGGCATTGGAGAAGTGCAGTGGGAGAATGCAAAGACAGACTGTGCACGCAACAGCACATTAAAGGCCTGGACAGCAGCCAGTCGTGACTTTTTGCCTGGCGACATAAACACGCACACCACCACGTTAGGGTTGCGTTTGGACGTGCGCCTTCCGCGCAACAGCTGCAAGTTTGTGCCAGCAGGTGCAAGACCTGACTTGAGTGCAGGTTTGCCCTGTGCATCTATCTATCTATCTATCTATCTATCTATCTATCTATCTATCTATCTATCTATCTATCTATCTATCTATCTATCTATCTATCTATCTATCTATCTGTCTGTCTGTCTGTCTGTCTGTCTGTCTGTCTGTCTGTCTGTCTGTCTGTCTGTCTGTCTGTCTGTCTGTCTGTCTATCTATCTATCTATCTATCTATCTATCTATCTATCTATCTATCTATCTATCTATCTATCTATCTATCCATTTGTCTATCTAGCAAGTTTGTGCCAGCAGGTGCAAGACCTGACTTGAGTGCAGGTTTGCCCTGTGCATCTATCTATCTATCTATCTATCTATCTATCTATCTATCTATCTATCTATCTATCTATCTATCTATCTATCTATCTATCTATCTATCTATCTATCTATCTATCTATCTATCTATCTCTCTGTCTGTCTATCTGTCTATCTGTCTGGCACGTACTGTGAGACTACCACAAACATATTCTAAAGTGATTCAATCTGATAAACTCTAACACACAGTGTGTGAGAGCTGGTCAGGATGCAGGTCTCATTTGCTTGTACGGAGCACAATCTGAAGAGCCGGAGCGAGGACCGGCTGTGTGGCCTGCGAACTGCCCCTCCACCAGGGGGCAGTAGTGGAGGAGGAGGAGGACAGGGAGGAAACGGCAACTACCCCCCCCAGAGCTCAGTCAAAACACGGCCCCTGCCTCAAGGCCACGCCCACATGAAGGAGGCGTTCGGACGGCACAGTACCATGAAATACAGGTGAGACAGGTGGAACTGGTGTGTGTGTGTATGTGTGTGTAACGCCACCTGTTGGGTGGCAGCTCAGTCTGGGACTGGGTTATTCGGCCCTGGCTGATGTTTTATGGCTTCTTTAAAGATTCATAAGGGGCCGCTGACAGTGTGTTTGTGCTCACTTGAATGCTTGTGTTGTGGGTGAGTTGAATGAATGGCTAACTGGAAGTCAAAGGGCCAGGCATTAAATCGCATCTTTTACTTACATTTTCTGACCAGTTCTAGTGCTGGGTTAGAGTCCACCTTAGTCGAGTCCGAGTCTTTAACCAATAGAGTCTGAGTCAAGTCCGAGTCCAAAAGGGGTAGAGTCCGAGTCCAACTAAACAATATTGTATTTCATTAAAGGTAGGGTAGGCAATTTCAGAGAGACAAGCAATAGCGAGTTAGCCTTGAAAGCATAAGATCCCACCCTCCCTTCAGAAAGGCCACGCCTCCTTCAAAACACATGAACACACACAGCAGAGTCTGCAAAGCGTCACGAGACGAGAGACTGTGTTAATCTACCTTATGTCTCCAAGCACATAACATTACAATAATAATGAACATAAAGCACTTAAAAAACACTGACCTGTACCACCTGACAGCTGCAGATTCATTTCAGCGTTGAGTGTTGGCATTGAAACGCATAAATTCAAATCACGAGTGTAACGTCACGGTTTTCCACCTCTTCCAAATGACAGTAGTTATAGTGTGAACAGCATGAGCTTGTTGTTTTGGTTCAGGAGGAACTGTAAAAGGCGGCTACTGTTTGTTTATGGCACTTAGTGACTGACGTCTGTGTAACTCTGCATGAAACGCTCTGATGACGTGTGATGTCTGTGTGCGTGGAGGAATGGAAATACATACGTTGACAGGCTGGTAGGACATCGTACCATTTATCCTTCATGTGGACAAATATTTTATGGTCCTAAACACATATACATACAGTATAAATGCGTTTAGACCAGTTAACTAAATGATTGCTATCAGGATGTGAAGAGACTTTCAACCAGCATTACAAAAAGATTTTCTTAAAAACAAATCACCTTAAGCGCATTAAGTGTTTCGTTTTAAACTTAAACTACTTGGTTGTTATGGCCTGACTTGATTTCTGTATTGTGACATATGTGAGTGAGTGAAACAGCTTTTCGAATGTAAAAAGGGCGGGACTTGACTTATACATCGATATAAATGTATGAATTCGAGGCAGGGGGTGGTAGTGAGGTGAATGGTACAGTCTATTGGGACCTGCTGAAGAGCCGAAAACGCACCTCTTTTCTCTCTGTTTGAGGCTGTGGGTTTTATATGACAGGTGGTTAGACCTCAGTCAGGGTAGATTTCAACATTTTTTATTTTCGTGAATGAAAATGAGGCTGTGAGGGGACAGACCAACAGTCTTTACAATGGCATGCACTGTGTTTAAAGCTCCTACATGTCATTTCCATAACTCAGGGCCAACACAAATCTGTTTATTTCGAATGCATTTATGATTATAATTACATTATTGGAAGTCTATTGTATGGATCTGTGTTTTCGAGTTAATGAACATTTTGGTAGGGTTTTGCCCTGCCTGCCTGCCTATACACAAGCCACACCTGCATATAATAATTATTGTATATTAAAAATCTGTAGTTATAATTAGTATATAAAACCCAAGAATATTACTGCACTAAAGGCCATTACTCATAAGGAACGGGCTAAGATTCCTCAGAAACGCTGCCAGGAGCTGGTGTCTGGTTATACATCTCGTTTGCAGCCGGTCATAACAGCAAAAGGGTGTTCAACTAAGTACTAAAGATGCTTGCCATGAAAGGGTTGAATAATTTTGAGGCTGCAAAAGTCATTAAAAGTTACATTTTCAGTTGAATTTGGGGAAACCACTTCCCGAAATGAAACGTGGTGAACATAATCATACACATGCACAAAGACAAAACACCACTAGTAACACACAACACTTAATATAATGCAACAAACATTAACTAAACAACAGAATATGTAACACAAAGCACCCCAACGTACACACTGAGAACAAAAATGAGAAGAAACGAAACTGTTTAAAGACAATATATTCATATATGATGTCACAGTAATTTCTGGGACTGTTATATGTTTTACTAATTATATGGTAATTCATAGTTTTTATTAGCAAAACCCAGATATCCGATTGCATTTTAAAGTAAAATGACATATAATGTGGTTAAATTGAATTAAAATTAAAGTGACTCTTTTAAATTTGTAATCAACCATCTGACAACCATCTATCAAGGCTCTGGAAAACTCTCAGAAATCTCTAGCTACCACACAACAATGCGCTACTCCAAACACCTTAGCAACAGCATAGCAACACTCTGGCAGTCACCTTCAATGATCCAGCAATTGTGCCAGTGAGTTTTGCACAGACAAGTGCCACTCACATTTCCATCAGGAAATGTAAACATTTAGTTGGGTAATGGAGTTCTCTCCTGTAGCATAACTATTTGTGTGTGTGTGTGTGTGTGTACAGGTTTGGCTATACTTGTGAGGGCCAAATGTCCTCACTTACGTAGTGAAATATTATGACAACCGACTAGTGAGGACATTTTACTGGTAGTTAAAAAGGCTAGATTTGGCCTGGAGTGTTTTGCACATGTTTCTGTGATGGCTAGGTTTAGGGGTAGGGTTTGGTTTAGGCCATAGAAAATAACATTAAACTGATATAAAATCAGTGGAAGTCTATGGCATGTTTGGCATGGTAATGTCAATGTTGATATGTTTGGTCTTCTACACTGCTGCTGTTATTGCTGAGAAAGTTTGGGACTTGCTACAGCCGAAAACACTGCCGTGAGCAAGAAAGACATGCTGCTGCTGAACAATACAGCATACATACATGAATTACCCATAACTGATCTATACAGGTGGAGCTGGGGAAGGTGGAGGGTTTCTGAAAGCGAGCTGCAAACTGCTATATTAGACGCTGACCAGGTATTTGAAGGTTGAGCAGCGAGCTCATCGGCTACTGATACAGCAGGAACAAATCAGCTGCGCCTTATAGAGAATGGTGTAATTTAAAGCAGATTGAGTTAAGGACCGATCAGCCTGTGCCATTTAGAGTTTCATGACAGAACTTTGCATTGAAAGTTTTATTTGTAGGTTGTGTGTATATTGTGGAATGCAATTATACAGCGCACACATGCACATATTTCACAGTTGGACAATCCATGCTGTCCATTAAGTCTTTAAAGGGACACTCCACCCATTTGCATTAAGAGGTCCATTGTTAGACAACCAGTCATACTATTGAATGGTCGTGCAACATTCTTTCATTTTCCCCTGAGACGAGAGAAATCTACTATTTACCTTTTTCACTTCCTCCTACAATGACGCAAAAATCGTCATTTGACGTCATTGTAGGAGGAAGTGTAAAAAGGGGGGATTTCTGTATAGACTACAAGCACAAATTCCCACCCTTTCAAACCCGCCCATAGGGGGTTGGACCTAATGCGCTAACAGAGCTATCACAGATCAGTGGGTGGGACTTCACTTGCAGATACTGAAAGCAATATCAGCCATCTTGTTTATAAGCTAAGCTAACAAGCGCTGTGGATATAGGAAGTTACGACAATGACGGAAGAAACTAAACATGATATGGAAGAAGAGGATTTTGAAATTCTGCTGCTCGAATCCGCTGTTCGTGGCTATCTTTACGAGCCGCAATATAGTGAAGAGCAGCTGAGGCTGATGGTGGAACAGGAGGCGGCTGCCTGTCGCGGACGAGGAGCCCGGGCTGGCTTGAGCTGGGCGGACTGCTGGTGCGTGTGCTCTCGCTGTGCGCTACGGACACAGATAGAGTCCGTCTGCTGCAGAGAATTTCAACAAGGCAGTTTCTCCTGGACGAAATCTCTGAATCAGACGACCACACGGACGTTTGTGTTGTGATGTGAACCATCCTAGTTTCGCCTGACTGAACATGCAGGTATCATGCAATAATTCACCATATAGAAAGAAATACAAACGAGTAATTCACTAATGAGTTTGCCAATGTAACGGGGTTCGTTGTTGTGGGAAGAAGGAGGCTGGAACCGGCGAACATTTAAACGTTTTAATAGTAAAATAAACAAATACAAAACAAAAGTATAAGCCAGCTGGCCACACACAACAGAAACAAAACATAAAATCAGGCCTGTTCCTTTTGTGCTTCCGCTCCTCCGTGAGAGATATGAGACCGCTGCACAGGTGTCATTCATTATCACTCGCGTCGTCCTCTCACGTCCCTCGCCCTCGTCCTGCTCGCCACAACTAACTAGACATTTTTTGTGAAATGAATTTTAAACTCATTTGGCAGCTAGCCTTCTTGTAGACGGAAGAGCGATTTCTCTGATGTTTGCGCTGTTCTGGATTAGTGGGAGTGGCTTGCGGAGCTGTGCAACATGGTGCATTGTGGGAGTTGTTGTCTTACATACAAATGCGCCCCAAAGTTATTTTCTGTCTTTTCTCGGTCAAGAGGGCACCAAATTTAAAATTTCTTTTACATTTCGACTACATATATAACCCACTTTCAATAAAGATTAATGTTGAAATGGGTGGAGTGACCCTTTAAAGCAACACCAAGTAACTTTTCCTCTGCGGTCGCCCTACAGGTTGGAAGCGGAATTGTCCATTACCGCTGTGGTAAATAATTTAGCCCACCGCTTCCTACTGTCGCACGCGCGCTCGCTGTTTATCCAGCACCGGCTTTGAAGTGAACGATGTCCGTCACAGACAAGGTAGAGTATGTTGCATGATTTCATGAAAGTATGATGTATTGCGACATCAGAAACGAAGAAAAACTAAATAATGACTATTGTAACGCTTGACGTAAAGCAAGTCAAATTTGTAGTTTTCTTATGTCTAATTAGAACTACAGAAACTCGACCCGATCTGGCAATCTTACATAGCGTGGTTATAGCAGATATAGGACCGCAAAGCGGAGGCATAAGTGCCTTTCACCCTGTTACGACTTAATGAACCAC